ACTGTTCGGTTCCATACGACACTGTGGTGTCACGGTTCGGCATGTTTTCCGATACTGATTTCTCTGATTTTAATTTTTTTAATGTATTTAAACTAACATCATAAAAGTATGATCTTGTTTATTTCTTTTACTTTAAACAGTAATAGAGCTATACTTCTTGGGTTTCTGCATAGCAGTAAATAAAACAAATCCTTCTTTATACTCGAAATAAAAAGCAGCTTATAAAAAATAAATGTAATATTGTAGCAGTTAAACAAATAAAAAGAAAAGAACAATTTAGTTTGTATATGGAACTCAGTTTCAACCTATTTTTAAGTATTGTTTTATTTTCAGAAAGATAAGTGTCCACCTTTTCTTCAGACAGCACAGATCTGCTTGATTTGACGGTCACCTGCCATTTTAGTGGATCTGAAAGCAGGAATTATCTGACTGAAATGGGTTTATGAAGGAATAATGTAACGGGGCTTTATTACACTTAACATTTTCTTAAAACCCTAAATTTTCACTACCGATCTCTCATATCCACAGCTATAAATGTACCGATCGTCTCTGATTTGTTTTGCCCTGGTCGAATCTGTAGGAATGGCCTGTCCGAATGCTGCGGGGAAGTTGCTTGGTGCGAGTGTTTCCAGTTTTTGTCTAATTCCAGTTACTGATTCTGTGATGTCAGGGTAAATGAGTTGACATGCTCAAATATTAACGCTAAAATAACTTACTGTAATAGCAGATGTCATTGTTTTTTTTTCACCACTCTCTTACCATCACCCTCATAACTTACAGGGAAACCAAAGTGCTCCAAAACGCCAGACCAGCTGGTTGTTATAGAAGGATTACATTAACGTTATTAGCCATTTTGCGAGCTAGTGCAGCGTTTGCCTGACTGGAGTAGTGTTTGGAGGTGGTCGGGTAAGGCAGAATGTTGCCCTGTCACGTCATTTGGGATGTCTGAATCGTTCGGTTTGTAATGTGTACCGAACCGAAAGTCTCGTACCGAACGGTTCAATATGAATACGCTTATCGTTACACCCTTAATATATATATATATATATATATATATATATGTATATATATATATATATATATATATATATATATATAGATATATACATATATATGTATATATATAT